TCCCACTCCCCCTGCTTGTGTTCCCTCTCTCGCTGTGGGTCTCTCTCTGTCAAATAAATAAATAAAATCTTTAAAAAAAAAATAAAAAAGTGGGCAATTATTCTGATCCTTTACTCTGCCCGAGACCCGAGGTGGCTGAGTTCAAGCAGCCCCCAGAAAGCAACGCGAGCAATCCCCAGCTTTTTCAAAGCAACTTGCTCACCCAGAGAAGCTGTCTGCCGATCAGTGCACATCCCTGACCCCCTGAAATGGCAGACCGGCCCAAAGGCTGGCCCACAGGTAGGTGCCTGAAGGGGCCACGCCGAAGGTGCCCAGAGTACAGGGGACACAACTATGCCCCGTGCTCTGCTCATCAACGAGGAAGGGCTGAGAAATACCGAACAAGGTAAAAACCGCACTCCAGGTCGGAAGTGGAGGTAATCTGGATTGCTGAGCCGGGAGGTGGATTCACGTTACAGAATGCTAACCTGACAGAGGAACACAGCCCCTGAACGAAACCAGACACACCCTGTGTGCCGGGGGCCTGCAGCGGACCCGGGGGGAAGCCTGCACCTCCTGGGGACCCCAGCCTCCCTGGCTGGGGATCGGACGCACCTCAGGATCCCGTGCAGCTCAGAGGGAAGCCCCGGGCGGCCAGAGGGTGGCTGGCACTGCTCACCTGTGACTGCTCCAGACAGGGCTGCTGTGAGGGAGGGAATGAGCACAGAGCCCCACATGCAGGGGCCTGGCGGGCACGGTGGCCCCTAACACTCCGCACAGCGCACGCCCCAGCCCTAAGCCTTGCAGTCGTTAGCTCCGTTTTCTACTGTTTGTCTTGAGCAACGGAGCTTGGCCTTTCTGGACTTCATGTGTCAACTGAGGAAACTAACAGTGACCCCACGCGATTATGGCTCTGTAGTTACGCAGCCAGCCTGGAGCCTGGCATGTAGCAGGTGCTCAGAAAATGCCAGTATTCTCTAATGAGCCTGGAGAGTGTGACAAGTGTCCCTAGGTGGTATCAGGCACGGGACAGAATGCACAGCAGCCCTGGGGGTGCTGGGGACACAAACCTTGAGCCTCACGCCTCCTTCCCTCCACTTGGCTGCCCAGATGCAGAACCCTGGGGTGTCCAGTCAAACAGCCCCGAGGGAACGCCCTTGGCCCTGCATTCCACATTTCAAGTCCACACTCTTCTGAGTACGTGCTCGTCTGGTCCTCTTGAACCAAAGGCCGTTAGCTGCCCCTCCCGGGCACCATCAGCTCGGGGCACAGAGTGGGGGCCCAGCTCAGCCTCCAAGGGCAGGAGGCAGCCAGCGAGCGTGTGTGGGGCACAGGTGTGCAGGGCCTGGGAGGCAAAGCCCCCGGAGGCCCAGACAGAACTCACGGGTAGAACGAGGGCAAGGCCTCCACTGAACCCTGGTTTGTGTACGTAACTACTTTATATTTAGTGTTTTATAACAAAAGATAGGAAATGTTTAGAAGGAGTGCAGCATAAAGAAGGTGGGTACACGAATCCTGCGCAGTATCTGCCCCAGTGGGCAGAGAGCCCCCAGGCCCCCCAGGACAGGAGCCACCCCACAGCCGGCCTCCCCTGCAGCCAGAGCTGGTCCGCTTGGGCTGGGCCTCCGGGGAGCGCGACCTCATCGCTTCTCAGATACATTTAGCCACGTGCAGAGTCCCCTCCAAATACCTATTTTTCAGGAGACTCTGTTTCACCAACTGCTCCGTAAACCACAAAGGTTGTTAGGAAGACGCTCTGGCCCCACGCTGCTATGGCACCGCGCACCCTCCCACCGGCAGCCTGGCGAGGGCGTGGGTCCCACGAACGGTAGGACGTCACCCACCGCGCCCAGCGGTGGGCTCGGATACTCACGGCAGCGATGGAAGGCTTCTTCCCGTCCCCAGCAGGTGGGTGAGTGACGTCGGCCCCCAGAAAGATGACGGGCTGCTGGAACACGGGCGGCCTGCAGAGGGAAGCCGGACCATCTGAGGCCTCTGGCCCTGAAGAGCATCACTTGTGTGGCAAAGTCACTGTGGTTGTGTTTGTAAAGAAACCTCGTATCTTTGAATGGTCCCTACAGAGAGCCTGGCTGATAAAGCCACACCAGGTCTGAGATCTGCTTCCAAATGACCCGGTGCAGGGATCAGGGGCAGGAGGAGCAGGGGCTACCAAGACTGGTCAGGTGCAGACGGTGTTGAGGCTGGGCCAGGGAGGATCCTACTTTGTGTACGCCCGAAAGTTTCCACGGTCATCACACCTACTGAAACTCTCTGTGTATACAGGTTATGTGTTTATAAGACAGAGATTATACATGCAAGACTCAATGCACGTAGGAGTCCCATACTTGGTTCCGGCCTCGGACCTGCAGCCACACACCCCAGCGTCTCCCCCACGGCACAGCGGCAGCTTGCGGCTGGGCTCTCCCCGCGCCCCCGCAGGGTGCTGAGCAGCACCCTTGCTCTCTGCCCACGACGTGCCTGGGCACTCCCCCAGGTGAGAAGCACAACACGGGCTTCTTCTCCTCATCTCTTAAATGCTGTGTTCCAGAACTTTCCTGAAGAGGACGTGTGCACGGAGGGTGGGAGCATGGGGTCACTTGCTAGCTTTGCGTTCTGGAGCTTACCCTCTCTACAGCTTACTTTTCTCTTCTGGAAAATGGAGACAATACGCACAGTTACACGAGCACGTGCAAGTGCAAGCCAAGTGCTTTCAGAGGGCCTGGCCCGCCACACTCCCTAGGAGCTGCTGCCGTTCGGGCCCCTTCCTGCTCAGTGGTGAGTGGTGCCGTGAGCTTACCAGCCCAGCCAGGAGCTGAACTCACTGGGGAATGATCCCAGGGGGCCTCCCGCTGGACGGAGCCCCTCCACCCGGAGCCCAGAGGTAGGGGGAAGGGCTTCGAGTGTGTACGCCACATATCAGTGTCCACAAAACGTGGACCAGCTTCCCCCTTCAAGCCCCAGTGTGCTTCCAACTACACCTGGGGGTCCCGGGACACGGAAGCAGGGCTCACCGGCACTCCCTGCATGGGGGAAGATGCTGCCCATGGCCATGCTGATGGCCCTGCCTCTGGGCCCTGGCGTGGACGGTGGCCCTTCTCTGTAAGCCTCCAGGGCCCAGCCCCGGCCGTGTTCTCCCCAGCACCACGCAGCCCACTCGACACTGCACCCCGCCTCCCGACTCTCTTACGCCTGGAGCATCTGCACCCGCCGTTGTGACTCACACCTTCAACCAGGAAAACCACACCTGCCTGCAGACTCCTCTCCCTGACACGCTTCCCACCCCCATGCTCCCTCAGGTCCCTGGCTCCGCCCTGTGACTAAGCTCCTAATTAGGTGAACCCATTCACCATCTCCTGAGCAGCCTTGGGCCCCTCCCACCAGGCTTCCTGCTGCCATGGCAACAAGACTCCCTTCACAAGGTCCCCCACCCCTGCATGGCAGAGACTCAGACCTCCTCACTAGGCCTGTCCACACCATGTGACACAAGACGCAGTGCCCTTGGGGTCCAGGACCCGCCTGGCTCTCCTCCCCTCCCTTCTGGGGCTCCACTGCTGGCTCCCCATCTCCACGACCTTTTACCCCTGAACTCTCCAGGGCAGCAGGCTTGGCATCCATCCTTTCTACACCCTGCCCTGGGGGATGTGGAATCGCAGGAGCCTTGTGGCTTTCAATACCACCTCTCTGCTGGGGACTCCTAAACACACAACCCTGATACCAGATCCCAGTTTCCGCTCACCCACCCGTGACGCCCCTCCGGCCAGACCCTGCAGGCCCCACCTCTAGAGCAGGCCCTGCAGCCCCATCTTCCAAACACCATCTCTGGGCACCCACCCCACCCCCACCGCCAGCATCCCTCCCGAGACAACGCAGGTGCCTCCTGGTCCCGTTCCACCCGGAGCTGGAGCGGCCGTCTAGAACAGGAACCTCCAGGGGCTGTGTCCTGCCCGGAGGGAGCCCCAGGCCCCTCCAGCCCTCCGTCCTTTGCTAGAACAATCCCCAGCCGTCCCCGCAGGCTCCCACCCAGGGCCCTTGCTCAAACCGTGCCCTGGGGCTGGAACACCCTTCTCCCAGGCATCCCCACACACCTGCGACCTTGGCCCCTGCCGTCTGCTCAGTGCCACTTTCTCCACGAGATGGTCGCCATAGAAACCCCAGCTCCTTACCCTCCTGAACTCCTGTCCCTGCCATGATGTCACTGCTGCTCGCCTGTCAAGCCCCAAGCGTGTGGGTCCCCGCACCAGAGGGCTGGGACTCTGGGTGCTGTGCTCACTGCTGTGGCCCAAACTCCTGGTGCACAGTAGGCGCCCACTAAACACAGAACCTGCTGACTCAGTGAACAGCACTTCGAGCTCACCACCTGCTCCTGGTAGCTCCTCATTTCCTCCCAGGACCTTACCGTGAGGAACCAGTCTTCGGGTTCACGCGTATCAGGCTCTACCGCCCGCTAACTCCACTCAATGGCGGGAGCCGGAGTTCGGGAGGTGCGGCCCCCGGCCTGCGGCATCGCATGTAAGCTCGCTAGCAATGTGCACACTTGGATCCCAGTCCAGATGTGCTCGTCAGAACCTCTGCTTTAACGAGGCCCGGAGTGGGTTCGGACGCTGGCCCAGCCGTGCCCACGCGAGGAGCCTGGGGGCAGGCTGTTGCGTTCTGCACACACGGCCGCCTCTCCCCCAAGCACACAGAAGCAGCCAGACCGCCTCCTGTCCTCACAACTGCCCCTTCCACCTGCAGGGCGAGTGTGGCAAGCAATCCGCGTTTCCCCATGTCTGCCATTCAAACGCGAACCCAAACGCCCAGAGGCTCCAGCAAGAACCGCCCCCCACACACAATATCTGTCTCTCCTGGCTGCAGCAGACAAAAGCTAACCTCCCCCGGGGCACCCAGGGCCCCACGCCGGGCCAAGAAGTACCAGGGGACCCCACAGCCCTGCCCACCGCTCCCCTGCCAGCCCCGGACCCCGGCCCAGGGTCCGCAACAGCACGCTCTGCCGTGGAGCCTCTCAGTTCCCAGGGCTCGGTTCCAGCACTGATGGCATCGGGCAGTGACGTGTGTCCCTCCATCGAGGCTCGTGTCCTAGCCGTTCCAGGTGCGCTCCGGCGCTGACCTGCTCACTCCTTTCATAGCGCGGCTGCCGCGTCCCCGTTCCAGGACCCCTGCGCCCCTCTCTGGCCCCAGCTCGCTCCGGGAAGCTGGCCACAGCACTCCAGGACCCCCCTTGCTCCCCAGACTCCGGGCAGCACTTCCCGCGTCGGCGGCATCCAGGACGGGGCTTGGCGCCGGGACCCCACGTGGCACCCCCGTGCACTGCCCCGACCCCACTGGGAATCGTGCGGTTAGCCACTGCGCACGCGGGGAAGGGCCGGCTTACCTCCCCTGGGGCAGCAGGATGTTGTTCACGCCTCCCAGTTTGACGTTGATCTTCAAGCAGAGGTTGGACAGGGTCTGTGGCGTGGTCCTCTGCACGTTCTTCATCTGCACACACTGCGTGGCCATCCCCAGCACCGTGTCTCCCACGCGCTTGACCTCGGCTGTGGAGCACGAAAGATGCACACGTTGGCAGCTCTCACCGGCCCCTCTTCCTTCGCTCGCCCTGACAGCCCCCCACCCCGAAACTGCAGAGGCCCGCGTGGAAGCGCCACCACGGCAGCCCCGTGGGCGGCCACGCGTGTGAAAGAGCAGGTGACCGGCAGGCGGGGGAAAGTCTGGCCCCAGGGCTTGCGTTCTGCTCCGGCAGGAGTGAAGACCCTTTCGGGGACTTGCAGGGCTGCAGGGCGGTATGGGCAGAGCCAGGCTGCCACGGGGGCCTTGGCACTCCTGGCTAGGATCGCCGCCTTCTATCATGGTGCGCGGGGTTACGAGCAAAAGCTTGCGTCGTTAAAAAGAAAAACACTGGCATCCTCGACATCCACAGCACACGCACACCTGACATCAAAGTGCTATCTAGGCCCACACCCCTCGGTTTCTGGAATCTTCCGTGACGCAACTGTCAGCTGTTCCCCACACAGCCTGTGGAAAGCGGGGACTTCCGGATAGAAACACTGACGGTGTCTTCTTTGCTCTTTGGATATGTAGCTTGGAGGGAAGAAGCGTGGCTTCCGATGCGGGATCAATGGGCCAGGCCCAAGCACTCCTCAGCGTGGCAAAAACACCAAGGACCCAGGCCGCAGCAAACCCCCACGGGGATCACGAGAGCAAAGGCTTACCATACACGGGGGTCTTGCCAGGCAGGATGACTACCACCAGCTGAAGGCCAGCGTACGTATTCTTCAGATGCCTGAACATGGGCTCCACACTATCCGCCCCCTGGGCATATTTACAGAAGCACGGCTGGCCCTGGATCGGCATTCCAGCGTCCCTCGAGATCTTTCTGAGCTGCTCTGTGAAGGATCTGAAGGAGAAGGCTCATCAGACTCGAACGCACGGCGAGAGCCAAAGAATCCACACCAACCAGAGGCCCCAAGTAAAGGGCACAGCCTTAACAGCCCAACCCCAAGTCACTTTTATTGATGTCCAAATCTAAGTTTAAGACCTGGCCAGAACCATGGCAACGTGTTAACTCAAAGAGAAGCGACGCGCTAAGCACACACGTCCGTTCCCGCAAAGCCACTCCCAGGGTGCGGGGACAAGTGCTGTCCTGTTGGAGCAATGCACCGAGCCGTGCTGCCCACTCGGCAGGCCTGACCAGCGTCCAGGTTCTGGGACAGAACCCAGGACTCCGTTCAAAGCCAAACACCGTCCAAGGGAGGAAAACCGTGAACGGACTGTCCCCTTGGATTTGCCCCCTCTATTCTTGGGTGTACAACTCGGACTTGGACGACACAGCCGTGGGGACGAACAGAACCAACCACAGGGAGAGTCACACCAGCAGCAGCTGCCAATGGGCCTGGTGGAGCCACGGTGGGGGGAGGGGCGCAGACCGATCAACAGCTTCTATTTTAAACTTAGGAATAAAAATAACATTGCCTTCTACAGCAAGGTAAGGATACTCGATCCAAGGGAGCCAGCATTCAGCCTCCTATACTTTAGTGCAGCTAAACAGACGTGTGTGAGTGTGTGTGTGTGTGTGTGTGTGTGCACGCCCACATTCACACCCACAGGCGGCTTCACCGTGGGGCCGTCCAGCTCCAGGCAAAATGAACGAAGGAGGCAAGGCCAGAACTCGGAGAGAGAGAGAGGCGCCCGTGGTCCACGCCCAAGCGACCTGGTCTCCTAAGCTGCTCTGTGCTCCCAGCTCCATCTGCTAGTGGCGCCCAGGACAAGGAGCCACCGAAGACCTGGACAGAACCAGCCCACTGACGTCCGCGCTCAGGAACGTTCGGAGCCGGCCTCGGCTAGAATGTCAAGCAGCTACACTCCTCAGGCTTGGGGGGGAAGTTCCCTCCTGCTTCCACCGGGACAGGCAGGAAGCTAAAGCTTTCTTTCCGCTGTTAGGTCTGTTTGGCACAAAAGCGTGAGCGGCGAAGCTGCGTGTTTATGGTGCTACTTTCAAAGGGTCCGACGCCTGGACCAGGCCAGGACGATCGAGAAATACGAAGCTGAAGTGGCTTTTTTTAAAGTAACTTGACTTAACTGAATGTAATCTTCTCTTTTGCATCTAATTTTCAAACTTTTTCTTCATTTACGGTTTTATTTCTTATATAATCTGCGTTACTTCTCCACACGCCCTCCACCAATGAGTCCGAGAAGTTAAGAGCAGCCTCGAGGTGGCCCACGAGTCCGGGCAGGTGCTCTCTGCCAGGGGAAGCCTACCAACCCCACCATCAACACCCGCTGCGCCCCCCGGCTGCCCAGCCC